ACATTGAAGAAAACACAAAGTTCACTTCATGGATTAATCAAATAAAGCTGTTAACATTCCTTAATCGAAAAACAGATCAAGTGCTGATTTAGAGACACTGTGCGCTAAAATAAATGAGGCTTGAAATTAAGAAGCTACAAAACTGATGCCCATTTTACCTGTGTGCTGCAGTATCACATCTCTTTTTGAAAAATACTTATCCCTAAAAAACCTTTCTAAGGAACCGACTCGTTCACAGTTCATTGTCGGATACCCACATCCATATGTCTCTGTGTTAAGACACTGTGTACCTCGGGGTCGACCATGAAATAAAACAACATGTCACTTTGAATTTGTAGTGCAGCGGAACAACAGACAGAGAATGAGAGACATCTCTGCGACGCTCACTTTGACCACTGTCTGACAGTTAATAACAGGCCTGACACAGCTTTAAATGTTTGCCAGGTATGTGGTATATCTATATACAATGCCAGAGCCGGGATTTTATTATTTTCTTCCTGCATTTAACTGTCAATGTTCATTTTCTGTAAATTGCATTGCCCTACATGATGGTCTCAATGCTGCTTCAAAGCTTTCTCCACACATATAACATATATAATTCTAATGGAGAAATACTAAAACCCTTCATTGTATGTTCCTTTATTTAATATTCTTGGACTAAAACCAGTGAAATATAAATATATTTAGGCTGTACGGTATTAGACTCAGTTTAAAAACCCACCATGGACAATTACAGAACAACAAAACTGTTCCCCAAATTGAGAGAAATACTTGGTATTCATGATCAATTATTCTAACAATTATTTTCTCAACTAATTTATTTGTTATTTGATCTATAAATTGTCAAATCAGAGAAAACTGCAAATCCTCATATAGGAACCAGACAGGATTCAGAGAACATTGGGAACCTATGCTTAATAAAAATCACTTGAATGTTTAACTGTATACATTTCTGTAAATCAAAATCGTTTCAACTGTAGATTCACGAGGATATACAGGAGAATTATGCCACCATCTGTATCCTGCTCGATGCAAACACTTAGCTCATTTGTCTCTGTTCATTTTCACTCAGACATCATATCTGGTCATAAGGCCGCAGATCCACAAGCAGATTTACTGGCACAGATCAAAGGAACCCCACCAGGCCTGGCCAGCCAGGCTAAACTGTAGGACTCTAACCTAATAATGTCTCAGACCAGGGCTGTAATCACGATCCCTTACAAAACACAAGCTGGTATAAGATAATATGAGCATATGGGGTCATGAGCAAACAAGAAAACAATAGAGCTGTTTTATTTTAAAGTCCTTGCACCCACATGTTCTACCCACACAGGTGTCACTTATTTTGCCTGATGGGGCACAGGTGTTACAAATAACATTAACAATGGCTCATGTCTCAGTAAGCCATAACAGTGTGAGCCAATATAAACAACAGCAGGAACCTGAAACAAAATGGAAATGGCTAAATGAAATTCAGCCATCATTCATTTTGTTATTTACACTTGTGATGCTCCTGCCGTGACGCGTCGAAATATGTTCAGTGGAAAAAAAAAAAGCTAGAATAACTGAAATCGCCTGCACATGCGGTGTGTGTGTGTGTGTGTGTGTGTGAGATAGTGTTTGCACAATCTAGAAAGCAAAGCTCCAATACCATATTCATTTCAAAGAACTGAATGCTGAAGTGAAATCATCAGTCTGTGCAGGAATAATTTCAAATATCAATCACAGTAAATCAATAAAGTGTCTTAGGTCATCAATACACATTACAGAGACACCATGCATCCCCTTAGATGAGAATTTAGATTTAGAAATAATTTGAAACAAAAGAAAATTAAAATAAAACAGACAACAAAAAAATGGCTACTTCCCCCTGCAGAGCTGTACAGTAGTAAACGATGCAACAATCGCTGAGAATGTGTAGGCTGAAGCTACAGCTCATTGCACCTACTGCTCCCACCCAAATCACAACCTTAAACATGCATTGGTTGTCTCCTTCACACACATCCTGTGAAGTGAAGCTAAAGACCGGTCAGTCTCAAACAAAAGGCTTAAATCCCACTTTTCCATCTCTTCCCTTTCTCCTTGTCAAGTTGACAGTATACTCCTACAGCCCCATGCAGCCTGCAACACAACAGCCCTATCAGTGGAGAGAAGAGGAAGGCCTGAGGATCTGAGGAGGATGGAAATTACTGCTCCCTGGTCACAGTCAGAAAGCCGTTTCCTTATTTATTTATTTATTTATTTTCCTCCCTCGTTCAAAAAAAAATCAATCAGCATCAGTTTACCACCTCCTTGCAAGGCCAAGCACAGCAGATAAGCCATCACATCACATGCACGCAGTCCTACTAAAAGCAGTGGGAAATTTCTATCAGTCAAGTGTCGCGATGAATATTCTGGACACCTGAAGATCATCAATCATCAACGACAGTCGAAGACCCCCCCCCAAAAAAAAAAAAAAAAATCTCAATACAGGCCTAGCTATATTATGCTTTACCAGGCCTACTTAACACGGTTTAAATATCTGTACTGTATTGTTATTTTTCTAAAGCAGCAATTAGGACCAAGCACAGCGAAAATGTGAATCCAAGAGTCTGGTTAGAAATGTGCGAATTTAAGCCTCCGGTCCAGTCATAGTTATCTTCACTGATGTAAAAAAAAACAGGCCTTGTCGCTCACAGGCCAATTTATACAGCCTTACAAATACGGCCGGATTTAAATATAAATCTGACACCAATACCAGCCGATTATCTGCTCGTCCGCATCCCAACATCTCCGCTCATTCTTAGAAATCACAGCCAGCGTCTTGTCACGACTTGGATCAGATTACAGGCCCGCGTCTCGATTCACAAAATCGATTTTAATTGCTGTGTGAAGCAAACGGCTGGAGAACACGCCCATCGTGTCTTCCTCATGATGTCTTCATACAAATATATATACATATATATCCACCGCTACAAGATGCCATCAACCACTAACAGCTAATCATTGAATTTAATCTCACCTTAATTCCTGCGATGTGTGTGATCCCCCCTCAGCCTGGGAGATGGTGAGGATGAGGATGAGGATGGGGAGGAGGATGGTGATGCGTACGAGGCTGTCGCTGTGAACCGAGTGATGATGGTGTGCGGTTTGGAGGAGAGAAGCCCACGCCATCCACACACACTCTCAGTGATGCGCAGGGGTCCCCTCCCCCATGCGAAACCCTCACGAGCGCACGAGCACATTAAACGCCTTCGTATCTGGAGGGGTTTGGCGCATATCTGCACACGATATGCGCTCATTTCCTCCAGCTTCACTAGGCTGTTGCGCCATTAAACTCGTGCAATTAAGGCTTTTTTTCTCCACATGTAAAGACAAACAGGCTGATGACACTTTTGTGCGTCCAATGTTAAGAAAAACCGATTTCTTATCAAATAGAGCCTACGCATATCCTCGCACGCATGCGCAGCTTTACTTTCATCCACCTGATTTTTACTAATAGATGACTGATTGTCTGTACATATGAATAACAGAGTGTGCACATACAACACACACGTGCATGCACACCTGACTCCGGTTGCCATGCCAACCACTTGCCGTACTCTTGATCCCTTTCACTGCATCAAGACTTGCCACAAAGAAACGTGAGACTTTCTTGACATCATCATTTGCATGTACTGTTCAAAATAAAATTTCTCCATTTACAATGCAAATGTGCTTACAAATCTATCCGTTTCCATTTGTCACATACGTCAGGGTATGTGATGGTGCAAGTGCAATGTGCAGGGGTAAGGATCTTAAAAAGCTGAAAGAAATGTGGAGGAAACTACAAGGATGAAGTTGAAAAAACAAAAATCAACCAATGCTTATGAAAAAATATGAAATAGCCTGTGTCACACTCTTCTTAAAACTATGTGGTTATTATCTACAGGTTCAAGGATCATAACCTGCAGGTTTTGTTGGATCGTGTCAGGGAGGAAATCAAGATGCTTAGAAAAATGTTTTGAACCATGTTGTGTCATCTCTGGGCGAGCAATGTGTCATAAATAATGGAGAGAAACAAACTGTCCAGGCCTCTAGTCCTTGTCCTGATTCCTGAGTCAGTGGTGAAGTATTAGTAGTGGTGTGCATAGTGTAAAAACACATTGTGAATGTTACTTATGCAGCTGAGCTCAGAACGTTTAAACTATACTTAATATTTTAAATACTGATTTTAGGTCATTTTAGTTACATAATTCATAATGTTGGATTATGGATGTTGCTCAGTCCATCCACCAAGTGAACGCTTCGTTTTAGAGCAATACTAATTGTCTCTAGAGCTTGATGTGACTTGCTCTGGCCAAAACCTTCACCTATAAACAGAAAATATCTAAATGCACTGGCCTTTTTCTAAGAGTGGACATTTTGACTTATAGTATAATACAGTAGTTAAACCACAGGGGGAGCCAATAACATTATTGACAGCTCCATTTAACAGAAGAGTACCAACAAGCAAAGCCAGTGAGCCAGCAGCCAAGAAACAGGACACCTAGATAAAATGCAGCTATCATCAGTGTTTATCACACATTTACTCTTCCTTCTGTGACGCGTCAAAGTGTCTGCTATGAAACAGACCTACTGCCAAGGGGATTCTCAATCATGCTGAAGCCACTCAGAGTGAGACATTTTTTACATTTCTATTTAAAAGTGAAGAAATTTGACTCTTTGATGTAAAGAAGGCCCTTTGGACGCCCCAAGAGTCTGCTGAATAGATGCTGTATTATCTTTTGTTCAGTGCATTAAGATAAAACAATTTTTTATATTCTAATTTTTACATTTCTATTTAAAAGTGAAGAAATTTGACTCTTTATGGGCTGTTCTACAGAAATAAAAATAACCATTAAGTAATTTCTTAGGGTGAGAAAAATATATCACAAACGTGTACTAAAAACTTTATTCATCAAAAGGTCCTTCAACTGTACAATGACCAAAAAAAACAAACAAACAGGTTAAATTATTCTCCCAGTTACATATTGTAGTAGTAAAAAAAAAAAAAAAAAAAATCTAAATGCGAGCCTGTTTCTACAGTCTGAGATGGATTACGGTGGCATTGGTGCTCTCATTGGGACGCGTGGTGGGGCACCAGGGGGCCTTGGTGGCATCGGGGGTCCTCTCTGGAAGCCAAAAGGAGGTGGACGAGGAGGACCAGCACCGTAGCCAGGTGGAGGCATGGGAGGAGGTGGCCCTCTCATACCTGGAGGCACAGGTGGACCTGAGGGAAACAAAGAGGGTGATCATAATTAGAGAAAACATTCACCTTTGATTATGTGGTCTCACCACAGCCAAGGATAACCACAATTAAAACAGCATCCTGTGCAATAATCATTTGCAGGGGCTCGGAGTGAATAATGGCCAGTTTGGAGACGACATTAAAAACCTATTGTAGAATGCACATCCTCCATTCATGTCGCATTCTTAATCATATTCTGAACTATGGTCAAATTTGTCAATTGATTTCAATTCACTACTTTAAACTTTCAAAATACAATATTTTAAACACATTAAACACTATATGTAATAATTCTACACCAATCTCTCAACCAATATTGGATGCAGATCACGTACGCCTTTCTAAAGACTCACTTCAAGATCAGGGTGAAACTCAGGTGTGTATGGGTGCCTTCACACTGTGCAATAACAACAATCATACAAGTTCACTGTATGTCAAACTGTGCAAGATGGATCCAATAATATCTTGTCAGGCTGTATGATACCAACTGTGAGGCATGTCAGATAGTGCGATGAATGAATGGTGAATCATAGCACATTGATGTAAAGAAGATGCAAGCATAGACATGATATCATGTTGCAGCTTTCATCTGTGATACTCTTATGTTTTGAGAAAGTCATGAAATAATAAAGACGCTTTGTCAATACTTCTATGCACTGAAACTCTTTAAAGAGGAGGGGCAGGAGATGGTGAGGCCCAGTTGCTGCTAGGGAAGAAAGGGCAAAATGAAATAATGATTTTGCTAATCGAGTTGTGGTTTCAGTTTTTAGACAGAAACATGGACAATCTTTCACAATTGTCAACTGTTCCCTCTTTTTCAGCAGTTCTCGATAATGGTGAAATTGTGCTTCAAGAATTCATTGTACTAGGATGGTCCAGAAACAAAATTTGGTTTGGTTCAATGAAAGGCATGCTCATAGGAGCTAATTTGTCATGGTAGACACGGAAACATTGGTATGTGTCAATACTATACAAATCGTTAAATCTATTTTGTAGTATAATACAGATATGCAGAAGAGAGGTTATTTACCCTTCAGTTGTTCTTTTACAGACAATACTGCACTGAGTCGATTATAACGTACGGCAATCTTTGTTCAAATGACAGAGGTAATGTTTGTGAACTGAAGAGAGACTTGTATTTCACAAAAAGGGCCACAGTGCTCACCCATGGGAGGTCCATATGGTGCTCTGGGTGGCATGCCCATGGGCGGGGGTGGAGGCATGCCAGGCGGCGGCGGTGCCCGTGGTTGATTTGATCCTGGAGGAGCAGGAGGTGGAGGTACCATGCCAGGAGGAGCAGGAGGGGGCATGGGCATCTGAGGCATTCCTGTGACAGAAACAATAAAGTGTATAAAAGTTAAATTCTTTTGCTGCAATACCAAACTATGGTAATGGAAATGTATGCATGTTCAAAGAAATAGAATAGAGGGAATCACAACTGCCGTTTATGGTCAATTACACTTTTTAATAGTAGTATGAATGCTGGATTTCTCATTTTAAATGCTCTTCAGGTTTATACCATTTTAAAATCTGATTATGAATGTGCATTTGTCATTTGTTGCCAATTTCACACAGCTTTTAAATTATGTAAATACACATCAGCTCCCATGTATTCAGTGTTCTTTGCTATATTTTCAGATTTTCTTGCCTTTTATTTCAGATAGCCATCAGTATCTGTGTCGTAAACCTCTAAGCCACCAGGACATCCCTCCTTTACCAGTTTTTGAGTTCATCCATAACATCCAGTAGCGAAAATTTGAGGACACCGAGCTCTATTGCACGCTAGAACTTTCTCAATGTACTGTTGTGTGCCCTTTCACTTGCACAGTGGAAACAAATTTTAAGTATTAACAAGCCATTACCTGGATGCATGTTGGCAGGGGGGAAGGGTGGTGGCCCGGGTGGAGGTCCTCCACCCCCACCCTGTGGGCCTGGAGTCCCTGCAGTTGGAGGCATGGCCATGCTAGGGGGCATTGTTGGAGGCATCGATCCCGGAGGAGGAACAGGAGGGAAAGCACCAGGAGGTGGCATGCCTGCACAGAAACAAGTTGTAATTACAATTTAAGTCATAATTTCGTGTTGTACCAGTGCACTAAGTCAAGCCGTCTGACTGATTAATTCGTTAAATATTCCAGTCATCATAGCCATTAGTCATCTGTCAGCTGCGATGTTGATGGTTAGTTACATCACTGAAGATTAAATCAAAATCAATCTCGTTAACTAATGAGACAAAAGATGCATCAGTCAGAACAGCGTACTTACACTCACCACCTTCAACTACCCAATCTATAACCTTTAATCAGTCAACTGTTGTATATGAGAAAACACACCTAGACTATTGATTACAGCCCAAAGAAACAAAACCAAAGAAAATATATTAAAATTCTAATTTCAGATGTAAGATTATACCAACATGTGAGGTCTTTGCACCTTGGCAGAGACAGCTTTGCAGCAGAAATTTTATCTTTTGTTATTGTTGTTGAGATTATCACATCAGACTGGTAGAGAATGCAGTTACTTTTACATTGAAGAGTGAATTAAGAGGAAATGTAACAGGGAGAAATGCAACTTATGAAGAGCCTTCAAAGATGGTAGCACACCTTGATTTTTTACATATATGTTAAAGTATACAGATGCTAATATATACTACTGTTCTTCACTATGTAATGTTCTCTATAGGCATGTGGCCTGAAATTACCAACTAATGACTTTCTCATCCATAGAATAATTGAAAATGTTCGGAATTACACTAAAAGTGCAGTTAAAGTACAACTGAAAGGAAGAAAGCCAAAGGACATCCTAGACCCTCTGACATCAACCCTATAAAAGCACTCTCTCCTGGTCATACCTGGCATGGGCATCCCAGTTCCCAGCGTGGTCAGGACTGGTGTCGGAGCAGATGGTGGTGGGGGAGCATCTGCAAACAGCTGATGAGGTCTGTCTGCCTGGGAGAGAGGGTTTTGTGCCGCCAGGAGTCGCTCTGCAGCTGAGCCGTGTCGTTCTCCTTTAGAATCCTTCTTGAAGGCATACGACACCGTGATGGGCCTGTTGCACAGGTATTGGCCATTCATGGCCTCAATGGCGGCATCTGACGCATCAAAGCTGGCGAAATTGATGAAAGCATAACCCTTGGAGTTGCCAGTGTCTGGGTCTCGCATGATCTTTGGCGTCTGGAGGATCACGCCAAAGGCACTGAATGTGTCATAGAGCAGTTTCTCATCAATTTCCGGGTCCAGGTTACCAATGAAGATGTTTGCACCCACATCCAAGTTTTTGTTGTGCGCTGATGCCTTATTAACTCGAATTGGTTTGCCATAGAGCTTTATCATATTCATGATTTTGATGGCATAGTCAGCGTCCTCTTCGCTGAGAAACTCCACAAAACCATAGCCTGGGAAGGAAGAAAAAAAATTTAGGAGTGTCTTTTCTCTTCTCTGACATGTTGTAACTAGGTAATCACCATTTTGGGGCATATAAGATGATACTCACCCTGATGTTGTCCAGTGACCCTGTCTTTGGGCATGTGAGTATTGACTACAGGACCAGCCTGCAAGAAAAGCTCCCATAGTAACGGCTCTGACACTTTCTCATCCAAGCCGCCGACATACACAGTGGCGTCTGAAAAAAAAACAAGGGGGCAATTAAAAAAGAAATCATTATGACATCTAAGATATTTCATCTTAGATGTCCAAATTAGACAGAATTTTACAGGAGTTGGGATTAAGTCAAACTACAAACCAATGGAGATGCTTCGTGCTAATTTTCTTATTTAGAAATTTGAATTGGACTACATGTCCAGAACACCCCAAGACGATCTTTGGACAGTGAGATATACAGCTGCATTCAAGCGATTGCTGTTAAAATTATACCTAAAGAAATTATGCTGCCATCACGATCCCCTTGCCACAAACCGACTGATTTGCATTTCAGGATATGACATCGATAACACTTTAAATATCTAAATGATAACACAGTAACCTTACTCACTTCATAGTTGCCTAGAACATTGGTTATTGACACAGTTTCATATAATAGGACTGGACAAACATATCTGACACTTCCCATTGAAACGGAAAATGGAACTAGCATCAACTGCTTGGCAATTTTATCCATAATAATGATAAGACTATATCTCCCACATCTGGCCTTTACACTTTTTAAGTAAAAGAACCTAAAAACTCGAAATAGCTTGACAAAATAATACCAAGTACTGTGGGAAACAAAGTATGATGATTTGTTTTCGTCAATGTTATCGCAGAGTTCTGCCACAGGCTCATATATAACTAGTGTTAGCTCTGTTAACTATGAAAAGTTAGCGTGACAAGCTAACTGCTAGCCAACATAACGTAACTCTGCCTCTGATACTCTAAGAACAGAAGCCACACATGAGAAATCAATCAAAAGTCAACATTAAAGATAACTTCTTCTGTAGCAAGCAGGTAAGAGAAATTCAAGTAAGAGAAGTGCAGTTGAATTGTTAAATTAGCGGCAAGCCAAGCTAACGACAACTGAACACTTCCATGTGACCGAGCTAACGAGTTAGCTAACCAGGCGACAAACGGCGCTCAACAAAACAGCGTGAAGAGTTTGAAGTGTAACCCAGAAGAATATGCATATATGACCAAAACAAAAAGCTGAGACGCGTATCTTAATTGTGCAGTTACCTTGGTTTCTTTCTGAAATTGGTCCCGCCGCCATGTTGAATGAACAACGGAGGGCGAGCGTCGTAAACCGAAGCCCCACCTCTTCCTGCACTGCGTTGCCGTAGGCGGAAGTAAATAAAATATAATAAGATAAAATAAAAGTATTTTCAAAAAATAGGAAATACAATACTTCTGTGGAAAAAGACAGATTTCCTTTAGGAAATCTACTTTAAATAATTACTTTAAAGAATCTGACAGATATTTGTCCATGTCTGATCAAATATACTTCAATCTAAAAGGAAAGAGACTGCATTATATCATTTTAATAAAAAAGTGACAAAAGCAGATTATTGAATTACATTCTTTAGACATCTCTATTCTTTAAAAGAAATGGGGAACTAATAGGCTATTCAATCATAACAGTAACATGTAATTCTTTTGAGCAATTGCTAAGATACTTCTGATATGCTGTTTCAGGCTACTGTCACTGAAATACAACTCTGGTTCAACTGTGATTTAAAGAAAACTATGTACTCAAAAAACTGCTGGGTTAAAAAATAACCCAACCTTAACCTTACCTCTGGGTACAGATGAGTCAACTCAACTAAATAAAATTTTATATAGATTTGGTTGCTCATTCTTTTACTAAGCAATGTAACAAGTGAGATGACAAACTTTTGTATCAGCCAATTTATTACATCATATAAATCTACTAAAAGTATAAACATGGAATACAAAATGTTCATAGAAAATACATACAATAACAGCCCTCAAAAACACTTAAAAACAATACTGAATAGAATATGAAACCTAAAAAACAGAACTTAATCAACACATCATGCATCAAAGCAAAGAGAAGTCTGTTTTTTTATAAAATGGATAGCAAAAAATATACTGTTTTAAAAAAAGCCTTCATTGATAATGATCACAAAGAAAGGTCAAAGGCATTTGTAAGAAGACAGTTCTGAGATTAATGGCTTGTGGTCAAAAATAACACACATTATAAGCATTGAAATTAGAAGAAAAATGCAAACACACATAATTCAAGAGCTCCAGCCAGATTCCTATAACAAGCTCATTTAAATACTTGTTTAGTTTCTCTCATTAATTACATTTCTGCTTTAGCATGAGTGCACCGGCAGTACAGTATGTTCTTAAGTCGGACTTGAAACCGGTTCATGGGACGATACTGAATCTCTGAAAACACATCTGTTGTTGACATTGTTGGAGCTGTTTAGTTCAAAATGTAAAGTGAAAAGGAAAACGTGAGATTAACGAGGCTGGATTCAAGCTGCAGAACTGTGAGGTCAAAGTGTGCATTACATCAGTTCAACTGTCTATTTTAACATTTCAGCATTCACTGAAGAGCGCTGCAGGGTCTTTGCCAAGAGGGCAAAATTACTTGCTGCTACACACGTATTTTATGAGCTGAGTACCAAACCAACAATATATAATGGTTATAAATGTATAACAAAGGTAGTAAGATTTAATAAATCCTTCATAACAACATATTAAGGTATTGTAGCAGTAACATAGCATGTAATCCATAACATCACCTTTACATGTAAGACAAAGGATTTAAAATAGAGTAGCACCACCCTTTTAAAGATCCCATTAAATGAAAGTTAATGGGTCTAATCATTGCATGCTACCATTTTTATAAAGGCACAATGATCCCAGAGAAGAGATACAGCAATAGAATATTAAAATTGATCTGGCTTTAATCATTAGACTACATTCCTGCTTCTTTTGTTTTTTTACTTGCTGTCTCCTTAAATTTTATGTAATGAGTTTCTTCTGTTGACAATCCAACACTCAGCAGCAGCACAAGCCCGCCTGCTGTTTAACTTGCATAACTCACTGCCCACATTTCCTTCCAACCAGAGCCACATATTATCAAGTAAACTCTCACTTCCATTCCATGGGGTCTTTAAAAGGCTACTCGTTGAAATGCCTTCATTCTTATATTGTAATAAAATACATTTTGGATAGACAGGGAAATTTGAGGATATCACATTAGCAGTATAAAAGAAATCAGGTCCTTCAACATAAAATATTTGAAAGGTGATAAGTGCGAGTTACATACATTGTTTTTAGCCCGTGGACGAACACCAGCGCTGACAACCAAATTCTGCTTCCAATATCTTAAAAAACAGAAACCACAAGCAGTGGTACTGTTTTGCATTGACTACGATGACTCACACATGACTCACACATGATGAATAAGCTTGTTAAAAAGCCAAACTTCATTATAACGAAAGATCCCTCGGTTCATTTTCTGGCCCTCACCACTGTGTGACTATTTACTGTTTTTGCTGAGACCCTCACCTACATTTTAGTCTCCCAAGCACCAGCTCTTTTGATGTCCTCTAGATGAAGCACATGACAAGCACAACCTGTATCACAAGAGTAATTCTATAGTCTGAACAGCGCCGCTTTGCAGGTCCATTAGTTGAGAGCACACTGAAAATATACATTCAGCTAGTGTCATGGCCACCAAGCATACAATGAACGTTAAAATAGTTGTTGCCTTAACAAACAAAAATAAAACAAAGTGATGGTTCACTCTCTGATTTTTCAAAAACCTGAGCTGCTATCAGAGCGATCAGTCCCCTGCTTACATTTCTGTAAAAGTACCCACAACTTTTTACATGAGCCAATAAGTATTTCTCAATGCTTACTGGAATTGTCACATACTTACATTATATTCTCATTACAACTGGTAGGATAAATGTCTATTATACCCATTATGGAAAACCTCATTGTGAAGTACTGACATTGTAGGGGATCTTTTATCCCCTTCCTTGCGGCTTTTGCTGTTTCTGTGATAATATTTTAGAAATACTCTGTTTATTAGTGAACACAAGGTACATGCTATCATGGTTTAAAGCTTGTTAAAGAAAGGTATGTACTCTCTTTTGCTACTTTTTACCACTTTCACTTGCCAGAGTCCACAATACTACTACTAAGTACTGTACATGAATGCACCAAAAACATTAAAGAAACACGCTGGTTTGACTTAAAAATGATCTTTACCTCATATGAGTTTGGTTTTTGGGGTCATATTACCGTATGACCTGTACATTCACTGATGAAAGGCAGGTTTTGTTTGTTGCAGTATGAAATAAAGAAAAAAACATGTACACTCCAGTAAGCTGGTATGCCAAGCAAGTTTACAGGTATTAAAAAAAAAAAGCACTGATGTCCTGTAATCACTAGGCACGAAGAGGTAACGGCTATAGCGGCAAATGTTTGTTTTATGGACGGATGTGCATACTGTAAAAATCAAGGCCTGATTACCTGGTCCTCACAACAACACACAAGATACAAAACCTAAAAAAATCAGATGAAGCATCTTTATCTCTATGAAATGTTCAATACTGTTACCAGGAATCCTACGGAATGTGAAGGCTTGTTTCCACGTGTTAGGTTTAGTGTGATGGCAGGGTGGCAGTGTTGGCTGCACTGAGCTGACCCACAGCTAACATCAGGATATCTTTCTTCTCCTTGTAAAAACGCAGTTCTCTGCCCGCCAGCCTGGCATCTTCCAGTTCTCGCTCTGTGGAGGCCAGCTCCTGCGCAATCGTGCCCGCTACGCTCTGTTCCCGGTTCACCCAGTCGGCGGCCATCTGAGTGCGCATGTCATCATCCAGAGCCCGGTGGGAATAGTGAGCCAGCACCTCCTGCAAAGTTCAGCAACATCGAAGAGTCAAAGGGTGCATTGCATTGACCGTCAAGTCAGGATGTAGAAAGATTCCTGTGAATCCTCAGTCAATGAGCCAGTGGAAACAAGTGCTGCAGTTTTTATTCTTTAGATGTTAAGAGGTTAAGAATATATAACATAATATCTCACATTTGAAGGTGTGTGATGATTTGCATTACAGATAAGCAACCTGGAGGATAAACTGTCGGACAAACAGAAATGATATTTTAAACTATGTTTTCTGATACTCTAAGCTTACTAGTGGAATGAACTGCAAACCAAACTTAGTATTTCTCTGAGGGATCTTAAACTTCTCCAAACTTTATATATGTAATTTGTTGTCAGGTCTCTAACGTAAAAGAAATCTTGAGCCCAGTGAGACTCAACGATTAAAAAAAACTTAACTAACTAAAATCCATCTTTTAGGTATGTTAGAATTTATAAAAAACCTCCTCTCTGGTGTCCTTATTTTCCAGCTTGCCACTGCTCTCTAAACATTCATGGTGAGAAGGAAAAATGTCTGATCTATCTGGAACAGTCCTTGTTATGTAGAAAAACACATCATATAATTAGTTCACTTAAAAACTTAAATGTAAAAGCTGAAAGCCGCTGCTGTACTTGGATAATTGAACCCATCTGTGAGATGGGCTTGAATCCCTTGCAGTACCTGTCGGGAACACTGTCGTTCTCTCATGGCTTTGAGGCTTCCATTCCAATGCAACAGCTGAAACACAGTCATCAGCTCCTGAACACACAAACACAGCCAAGCCAGCAGGAATATGAGACCAAACTCACTTCAGAACACTCAATATTTAGCAATTCAGTAGTGTAAACCATGCATGCTGTCTCCAGATGTCTAATTTCCAGTTAGAAATGGGGTTAGGATGTTCTAGCTTCAAGCTCATGTGGGCTCAAACTACTGTATGTAACCAGTGGAGGTCCATGAGCTGCATCCACACGAAATGTTAGTATATTTGTCAAAGGGTGTCACTGGTACGCTAGAGGCATACGAGCTAGAAATCTCTTTAAAAACATTTTAGGTAGCTATTACACACTCATGCTCCTCACATGCAAAATGTTTATAGATGCCACTTTGTTATTTTCACACTCCTCTGGTGCGTCTGACTAGCATAAACTGCTACTTAACACAACACAGACATTCCTGATATGTATGCACCTGAAACTCCAGCATGGATTTTCCTTTGTTGGACTCAAGCATGAAGCGAAATGCTCCAATTCCCGTGTTGGGATTGTCAGCCTCTTCTCTGTTTCCCTGTGAACGTCAACAGGCAGTTAATGACGGTATGCTGTATATGATGGCTTACATGCTTGGACTTTGAGGTCGGCCACAGACACTGAGGAGAATGACTAACATATGATGCATTTACTTTCTTGCACATTGATATCTTTAAGGTACCCTGTGATGTTATGACCACTAGTAGTGCTATGGAGCAGTGCTTTTGCAAGTGGGTCCCTGTTTTGTTTGTGCCGGTGCTCACATATAATGACCGGATTCACATTCCTGGCAATGGTTTCACACTAGTCCTCTGATCAACAGGTGTTGGTAAGAAATGCAGTAGAGTGCCAGCACGTAGCTTGATAAAATCAGCTTAGCAAATGTTTCACAAGAAAGAAAATGCAAACCACACATTGATTAAGATTACTTAAAGATACACTCCATGTTTGTAGAGGGTAATACTGACTGTGCACAAAAAAACTTCAGTTTACTCCACAGAGCACATTTTAAGTAAGTCCCTGTGAGGAATTTCCTTGGTAGTTTGTTTTCAAAAATTCTATTTTCCGTAAATAAGTTTTCTTCCTCGAGAGATTTACTGCATCTGTTTTCAATAAAACTAAATAGGAGCCACCATGCCAAAAGTGAGTGAGTGAGTATGGGAGCCCATCCAAGGCACCAATATTTTACTTAATTTTGACTGCACTGTGCATATTTGCAAAGCAACTACTGGATTTCAAAAATCACAGTGTGCAATTTGCAGGAGTTACTTCATACACAACAGGCTTATGGCATACCTCCACATGTACCGTGAAAACACATTTATAGCTACTGCATTACACTTATGAGTCATATACAACTCTTACACTACACTATTTATACTTATCCCCTTACCATGGTACCAGTGTGGAGGTCTAGTAGACTGAAGGTGCATAGCAGCTACATATATATTTAAACACGCATCTTTCAGAAATTTCTCATAACTTACATTGAAGGAGGCCAGGGCCTCACTCACACTCTTCTCAATGAAGTCGTCTGTGATGCGACGAGAGGGATGTTCATTGAAAACAGAGTTCATGAGGGCAATCTTGGCAGCGCTGCGTCTTGCCTCTGCCTTGGTGGGACAGAACTGTCAAACAGTGAAGAAAATGTGCATAAGCAGCAGTCAGATACAATCAGATATGTACTGTACAGTCAAAAGGCTGAAGACCGCCAGTGTTTATAGGGAGTAAAGCTAGCAACAGAGTGCACAGATCTTAAGTGACTGTTTTCTGGTCTTGTGATTGAATCCATACTTGGTATGTTGCGGTTGCAAGCATGTTGGAATTTTGTAAGCTTGTAACATGGTGCTTTAATGACCCTTTTTTCTTAAACAAATCATACAGTATGAAGTGTTTCTCCATCACAAAGCAAAAAAAAAAAAGAAAATGCAGATTCTGTACCTGGAAACTTCCGAAGCAGCTGCCTCCTGGAAGACTAACATAGCAAACATATGGTGGGCTGTTGGATGGGACCATTTCATAAACAACTAAAGCTCCGTTCCGCAGGTCAGCCCCTCTGCTCAGCTTCATCTGCCAAAACTCCTGTAAAGCTTCCACCACGTTTACTAGACGGAACAGATAAGTAAACTGTCACATTGTGATATATGAACCCTGTCTTTTATCAATAACCCTATTTATAGAAAAAGATATTATAGTGCCTAGATATCTAAATGCTTTTTGCAATCAGTTTGCATTTAAAGTGGCATTAGTCCCTGGCTGTGCTCTGTAACATCCTCTCTAAACACAAAGATGGAAAGGGTGGGGGAAGGTCATTTCAAGGATGCCAGGGGATTTTCCTGAAAAGATTTAGGTGGCTGCCTAAAGGAAATTCTGCATCACCTCAGAGGAACTGCTTGAAGAAACACACGGTCAACGCTACAGTCTATGTGCTCATGAGAGAAAGCTCCACATACGAAACAACAGCAAAAAAAAGCAGTCAAATTTGCAACTCAGTCATAAATAATTATTTGGGTTTGGGCTTGGGTTTGGGTTTGCGGGGAGATGTGAGTGCAGCCAACATTATCCAGGTCTCTTTCACTTCTGTTACCTCTCAGCCCGTTCCTGCTGAGCTCTCACTGTTTGATACGAACACGGGCTCACTGCTTCTCCCTCACACACAGAGTCTGGAGCCTGATCAGTACGTTTTGGGGCTGCAGCTTTGCCAACCATAGACATGAAAAAAATACAAAAGCGTATTCTGACATCACATATATAAATCCCTAAACTGCAATCCAAGTAATTTTGTTATTGCTCTTACTGTGTGGAAGCAAAATGCTCACTATAAACTGTTCTCTTGTTGTAGCCAAATATAAAGTAATAACTTATGTGCTATTGTCAAAGTTGTGATGTTATTTTCACAGCAGACTACATCAATCCATACTGTTCTCTATTTCAAAAATTATAAAATGTATTGTTTATCATAAGTATCCTTCCAACTAGATGGAAGCACTAGATGTAAAACAAGCCAGTGGATGTACTGTAGGCTATATACACAGTACTTTCCCTAACACAGAGGCCAGCTAAAGTAAACCCAACAAACTCAGTTCTAACCCTGACAAAGAGTGATTTTTGAGCATCTATAGGGTTCAGGACAGTGATAAGATAATGCATTTCCTTAAATATAAAAGACAAAGAGTCAGGAAATATTGGGAGATAGCAGAGGATGATATATTATATGTGACAGCGGTGCTGGTCCAAGCTCAGACCCACAAAACGTGACACGTGACTCCGACCACTGATCCACCAGAAGCACCCTGTTTCCACACTTTTGAGCACAAATCAAGTACAAAAACTTGCACTAGGTCTTGTGTGATCAGGAGAGCTTGCCAGAGCTATATTCACCAATCATTATATTAATGATTAATACTCTCTAAGGAATTAAGTAGCTTTTAGATGGAAAGAATGCACTGATTTGACAAAATGTAATGTATTGCAGGCAAGTAAAAGTAGACTGCCACATCAAAAAATTTATATTCATCAACCATGGTAGGAATGAGGGCTTTTTAACTTATAACAAACAGAATTATTTGTATGTCTTCATTGTGTTTTATTGTATGATATGAAATGAAAAATGTAGACAAGCCAAATTACATCCTAATATCGGTAAAATTATTATTTCCAAAAGACTAAAATATGACAGATGTGTTTGTTTTTTTTTAAACATTGTGATAATTTATCTAACATCCTTTTTTCTTCCCAAGAGTAAATCACTAAATTGGAGCAACATTAAGACAAAGCTACAGCCAGTCTACAATCTTTATGGTGCTGCCAATGTTGATGGTGTTAAGTAGCCTAAACGGGATAGAGGAGGAGAGAGGCTGTTAGTCAGAGCACAGAGGGACAATCTTTTGGAAATAAATCCTATTAGCACAGGACAGGAACACTTGTATTAGCTCCAACTGCCAACATTATTGCAGCTTTTGGTTAGTTTTAAGCATGCTTCTTGTCGATGTGCGTCAGTGATATATATAACTAGATAAAAAAGAACATCATCAGAGAAATTAACACAATTTTGAGCACAAATCAAAGTTTTCAGGAAATTTTAAGTTCAAGCTTTTTTGTAAGAAAGGCTCTTGTAAAAATTACACCTATCTGGTACTTTGTTTGTCTTAGTGCTGTGGTGTATAGTTTGGATATGATATCAAATATTCTGATCATATCTGAAAAGAGGCTAACATGACTTTACAAATATATTTACTACTGGCAAATTTCTTTTTTCACAGTTCACAGTACATGATCAGTACTGTAAAGTGTCCAATGTAAAATTAATTTAATGTAGTTATAATTCATGGGTAGTTCATAATAGAATTCATAATAGTTTATTGTTCGTAGTTGTAAGCCCCCCAGAGCCGTGGTAGTTAATCCTATAATGACAAGGCTGAAGCAAAGGTTACTATAGCTCTATAAATATAAGAGGAAAACTCCTGAGAAACATTACGGTGATATTACATCTGGTGAAAATTGCCATAGCTCACAGTAAAACAAGATAAAGTCCATATATATTTGAAGCTGCGTAGCTAAACATGAACATGACAGCATGTATGTTTATGTTTTTCGTTGCTAATCCACTTCCAAACAAATGGCGCAGCTAAAAGTGGCTTTCTGCTCTTCTAAACTCCCCCTCCCCAAGTAAACTGAAGCTGTATCACACTGATTACCATCATTATTTCTACATTTAACGGGTCATTATCACCACCAGACGTTACCTCTGCCGTAACCTTGTGTGTGTTTGGCGAAGCTGCGGACAACAGCCTCCACTGCCTCCTTCAGCACCGCCGGGTTCCCCGGGTTACAGTGGCCGGTAGCCCCCGGCCCCAGTCCCGCTCCGATACCGCCGTAGAGGCTGTGTAGCTGTAGCGGAGGCGGCGGCGGGGGAGGCCCGGACGAGGCGGCCAGAGAGGCCGGGGAGGGCAGCAGCGGCGCGATGGGGACCGTCACTCCGGGCCGGAGAGAGGAGCGGAGGGTCCCGGTCGGTCCTGAACCGAATCCAATCCCTGGCTGTAGCCTCTGAGGGCGGATACTGTCCGGGATAACGTTAGATTCCATTGTCCCAACGTAACGTCTGCGAAGTCCGGGTCTGGAGGAAATGTGTTCCGATCAACCCGACGGGTTCAGGTTCAAACACGGTCTGTAGGGGCTGAATGAACAAAGTGTTAGCAGGCTTTTGTCAATCACAGCCAGAGAAGTACTCAGCCGACGTTTCTTCGACACTTAACACTGCTGCTATGCATCCTCACTCTCTGGATTAGACTGCGGGGTTGTCAGTCAAATGATGCATTCAAGGCCTCCTGGTAGTTTCCTGGCTCTGATTTAAAGGACCAACACGCCAGTATTTTTTATATGTTTCAGCCATATTTATCTGTGGTTTCAGCTCTTTATTTATCATTTACTGCATTCTACATAACTGTTTGATGCCTTTAGTAATTGTGTGCTTTTTAAGCATATAAAGTGTATTTGTATGATTATAATATCTGTAATTTATTACACTGTGCATTCTCAGGACGTTATAGTATGTAGGATTTATTTGTTAACTCAGTCCAGTGTTAGTCGGTTTCTTTGTAAAAAGTCTAACATGTCTGTTTTATATGCAGCAAGTCGTTTAATGTGACAGAAACTTCTCTTAAATTAATCCATGTCTACATACTGTAATTTTACTGCTGTTTTTTTCTGTGTTCTTTGTATATTGGTTATTGCATGTTTGTTCATCCTTAAAAAAGAGACTCCTCTGTTGTCTTCCTGGTGTTTCTCCCATTCTCCAGTTGAAGGATTTTCCTTATTCGAACTGAGGGTCTAAGAATACAGGGTGTTGAATGCTGTACATATTGTAAATCCCATTGAGGGAAATTGGTGATATTGGGCTATATAAACAAATATGATGTGGCTTATAAGAGACAATAACAGTAACCAGACCTTGACTTTGATTTACGGTTTTATTTTAAGTAGGTCTTTAAAATCTAACGAAATAAAATAAACAACACTTTCAACTTTTGATGTTCAGTTTTCATTTTGAGGCTGTGCTTAGTGATGTTATAGTGATGGACCAAAATATACAGCCAGATGTTTCTAATGTTTTGCGCAATACCATCCATACATGAGGATGACCAACTCTCAGAAACTCACCTATTAATGATGAAAGATGTAATGCCTCTAAAAGAAATAAACAATCAAATGACACTTTATAGCAGTTTACAGCAAGCAGAGATTTGTGCTGAATGCTTGTTTGTACTGCTACTTTGTTCATCTAATTTGTAAAACGCAGAATGCTGCAATAGTTAAACAAAAAGTGAAAAACATGCTGTAGTTATAACGCTTGTTGTTGTTTTTGAAACTAACAGATGCTAAAATGTCACATTTCTGCAATGTCAGCATCAGAAAGATGCACCTTTACTGTATGGTATGTTGTTGAGTTATGTGCATGTCATTGTCATGTTTCCGACTTTTTATGTAGGGCCTGAAGGCAGCAGTGGAAAGTCAGAGAAATATCAAGCCAAGAAATCTGAGCCTCTTCTGTTCTCCTCTGGCACCAACAGGGAACAACTACAGTGAGGGCTTACAGCTCCAGCTCTGCAGCCTGAACCATGTGATTAAAACTTGGAAGCAGAATAACTAAGTTTAGTCAATAAGACAGCAAAAAAATGATGCTACTTCTTTGAAGCAAGCAAACAGATAAAGAAAGTAAGTAGTTACTGGGTTTAACTGTTAATCAGTAGACCACCAACTTTGTACAAAACAAATACTTGGAAGAGGAAATGGGACCTCCTCTTGCGCTTCCTAAGTGTTTTTTATGACTGTAGGGGCCTTGTGTAATTTTTCATTCTTTCAGTGGTCTGGGATGAGGCCAGAGAAGCTCAGAGGAAGAACTGTAGGGAGCATTTGATTAAAGTCTTTTTTAAGCTGATTCTGCGTTAGATTCAGTCACTGCGCGTCTGGTTCCACTAAAAAACAAATTTTAAGCAAATTACAGCAGAGTGCGAGACTGCGACCTCACAGAAATCAAAAGAGTGTCTTAAAATGTAACAATGTGAAGCTGTGGCCTGTTGACATTGTTTACCAGAGAGTGCACACAAAACAGGAAGAAGAATCAACATTCATATATCACAATTGTAATGAGTGTTTGGCTCACTGGAGGGCACACTCTCATTTCATTACATCAGTTTATAATAACCTCAGCTATGCAGCTTTACTGGCCCATGTTCATTTCCTCTGACATACGGACCATGATGTTGTCCTCCAGTCGTCTAATGCTTCGTTTGTCTAAGCTCCTGTGGGTTTGTTGTCGCAATAAGGAATCATCTGACCTCTAAACACCAATGGACTGAATTTTTTTTTTTTCCACTTCTTGTCATATTTACTTCCCCTCATTGTTTATCAAATTATTATTAGCCTATTGTAACCATCAGCCGTCTTGAACTTGTTAGTATTGCTTTATAATTTTAAGCAGACCTGTAAAACATCTGATTTTGGCAAAACACAATGATACAAATAAGTATATTTAATACTTTTTAAAAAAAACTGTGACGTACTATACTTAATCATTTTAATTTAATGCTACTTTATATTTCACTCCAAAACTGCACTTCTCACTGTATTACATTTATTAATTTACATAATAAGCTTATAAAATGCAATACATGGCGGGGCCCTGTGATATGTTTCAGATCATGTGTTAGAAGAGCAACTAAAGAGCAACATGTACAAAACTGTTTGAGGCCAAAAGAAATGTAATTATCAAATATATACAAAACAACAAAGAGAGAAAAGTACAAAGATAAATACAAATTTGTACTTGAACTTGTAACCCCTCAGATTTATCTTGTGAAGGGTCCTGGTCTCTGTGTCAGGAACCACTGGACTAAACTACCCAATGGTACATGTATAAGGTTAAACTTGATCCACCTCAAACAGCTACACCAGTAACATGCTCCTTACACATTGCTGTATTTGTATTCAGAATCTAATTATATACATTTTGCTGATGATACTTCTGTTCTTTTCTTTAAGTGGGAGTTTAAATACAGGACTTTTACTTGAAGTGCAGCATATATTTTGGTATTGGCACTTTACTTTTTCACTTTACTAAAAGATGTAAGTCCACTAATATTTTCAGTACTTTTATTCTACTACTTCTGTTTGACAGATGTTACTTTATTGATTAAAACATATGATCAGTTTTTACATGTTGCTGAAGTAAAATATTGATTTCAAGATTTTTATCTCCAACTGAGTGTTTTTACAGTGTGTTGCTTGCTGCTTTTACTTTAGTAAAGTATCTGAGCAGAACACTGGGCTATTACGATACTGGTAATGAGTCTTGAATTTACTGTGCTATGACTGAGCCAACACTGAACTGAGCCTAATAAATCTTTACTGTCTGAGTATCAGAAGGTCAAAGAAGTAGACGTGTAAAACCTTTGAAACGAGACAGAGTCAGGGCTTATTTTTCTTTATCCTTTTTAGAGTAAACTACATACATCTCCTAGTTTACATTTCTCTGATCTTGCACAGTTTGCCTTTGTACCTACTTCAACACTTTTGTGTAGTATTAAGGTCTATGTCACCCATACACGCCTTGCATACCACAGCAAAGATGTCTAGAATATTTTTTTTTCCCTCAGTTTAAGAGGATGGCTTTGAGGGATGTAAACAACCTAAGTCGTTTCCACCAGGCTAGTGGCAAACAGACTGCGGACTGAGGGAATAATCTCTGGTTGAAAACAATCCCACATCTGGTTTTAATCAAAGCTTTACAGTCAAAATCTGACTTTTAAAACTCCAGTGCAGGGCTTTCCCACTAGATGAACAGAGACTCATAGGATTGTCATTCACATTTCATTAAACGGTGTGTGTTGTTTATGTTCTCTGCTCACATATTCTTATCCAAAGATGGTTTTTTCCTCTGTATCAAATTGTTTATTAGTGACTGGGGCTGAGTGCGGTTGAAAATTAATTCCTTTACGACAACCATAAAGATAGACTCGTAGCAATAACACCCTGTTGGATGTAAACCAAAGGTAGAAGGTTTACATCCACATGGCTGAATGGCCATGGCTGATTCATGAGACTGTTCCCCAAAGGACAGCTTAATGAGTCATTTTTTAAAATCAATTTATTCAACTTGATTTTTTTATTCAGATTTTAATGTTTAGATTTTTTGTTCTGTAATCCTGTTATTTCTGTGCCAACGGCTGTCCATTAATTTAAGACATCGAAACGTTACAACTCAAAAGAGAAGCTTTTTTATTTACTCTAAACTTTAATCTCTGTTCTTTATGTACTTATGTGTTAGGGCTGAGATGGATATTCATAATGAAACAAAAATCTAGTCTAAGTCTTATGACATATTTATTAACAATATTAATAATAATAATAATAATAATAATAATAATAATAATAATAATAATAATAATAATAATAACAACAACAACAACAACAATAATAATAATAATAATAATAATATTTTTTCTGAGAACATAATGATTTTTTTCATGTTTTCATGCTGTTAAGTCGTAATGATGATCAGTGAGTGGCGATCATAGATCACATAAAACATAATTTTTTTTATTTTTATTTAATGGAATCCAACAATCAGATCTGATCAGTGATATAAAAAATACCATAAAAACTACAAAAATGGAAAGCATGACTCATCACTTCTTTAAAAGGTAAATGACTGAAAACAGAAGAACAACATGACCTATATTAAGATTCTATAATAAACCTAGCACTTTTCTAAACAAAAATTACAACGTGCTATACATCATAAAAGCACCAGCAACATCAGGGATACTGAAAACAAAATGATGACATGCTTTTCAACTGAAAAAACAAAATTAATTAATTAAATACTTTATGATATAACGTCAAAATAGATGGCCAAACAGACCTAGTACAACAACAAAATAGAAAATAAAACAAGACACTGTCAGTTATCTTATCTGTTACTGTATCAGTTGAAACTGATGTAGCAATATCAAACATACGTGGCTCACTGTCATAACGGTGACGCTGTTACTGGTGATTAAGTGTTTTATTTAATCAATATGATAAGATTCACTCTCATGTTGGATGTTGGACAGTCAGCAGAGGAACTGTTGGACTTTGGTTTTTGTTTGCCCAGCTGGCAGAGTGAGCAGCAAGGGTCATGACTGTGATTCCCTAACTAGCACAAACATCCAATAATGTCCCGTTTTATCATCTTGTCCAATCAGATTCACATTATGACAGGGCTGCGTCACACAGCTGAACTATAAGAGGAGTGAGAGTCCCACAGGAAAGCACCATCCGGTCCCAATTCTCCTGCAGTACAGGTGAGTCTTCTTCTGCTTCCTTTTCTTAAACTGCATATGACACATTGAGACACAAATCGCAAATTCGTCTTCCTCTGTAAAACTTCCAGGATTTACAAAACTTAATACTGAAATGTCACTGTTTGAAAGCGAAATGCTTCCCTTTGTCAGTTTGAGATTTATTGAGATATTTTAATACATTTAAAGTCTTTAACATAAAGTTATAGCATAATTATCGCAAATCCAGTTTTAACCATATCATTTGAGTGTAATGTCTTTACTTAAAATCTGAGAACAACAATTTGTTTTTCTTAGTTGTGTCTCATCATCTCTGCCTCAGAGGCTCTTATGAGGCTCAAAAACAGCAATACAGATGTAGTCGTAGTGCACTGTAGTTTACATTACTATTCCAAAGTATGTTGAAGGACTTTTATGTTTTATTTTAACATTTTGTGGCAACTTAGGACACATTTTTCCATTTAATGTGACCTTAGATTAATAATAAAGTATTTACCTTTTTAATTTCATTCTGTAATCCCCTTCAATCTCAATGATTGAAAGTTTAGGACTGAATTGTTTACTAAAGTTGTTATTATTTGTATTTCTCTATATTTATGTTTGTATTCCCCGTCTTTCAGACATACAGAGGTTCATTCTTGACCTTATCCGTGATAAATTCTTTCAAACTCAAGGTTCACTTAGCTCACACTCATATGGAGCTGCTGACAGGATTACTGTGATAAACTAGATAAGGTTTACAAGTTAATGAGTGGGGTTAGGACAAACAGTAACAAAATAATATTTATCTTATTTCCATATGACCAAAAAGAACGGCTGTGATTCCTAGAAAACGTGACAGCTTTTATCAGTGAGTCATCTGATTGCGCAACAGGAGGCCATCTCAAAACCAGTTACTGAAAAACAACCATATTACACATGTTTTAAACCAGATCCAGAGATTGTTGTTTTGGTTTTGAAAAAGGAAATAATAGGGAAATTTAATTATGAATTCAGCCCTACACCGTTGTCCCAAAAATATAAGATGAACTCAAACTTAATGGAAAAAAAATAATGGTTCTTTCAGTCAACACACATATGGTTACACTGCAGTCAATCACAAATGAAGACAGGACAGTAACATCAGCATGTTAACATCAGGTTATATCATCCTTGACCATGCAGAGCAATAACTGAAAAATGTTTGTGTCTGTAGGTCTTCTCCAGTCAGCAGCCATGAAATTCTCTCTCATTGCAGCCGTTGTCCTGCTTGCCCTGGCACAGGGTACGACCATCACACAGTTACTTTAAGTTCTCCAAATACAAGTGTTTTGTTTATTAAAGGCCTCATACTCACCGACATGTTTGCCTTTGGAAACCCACAGGAAGCTTTGCCCAAGAAGTTGGCGATCTTGAAAAGCTCGGTCAGTACTTGGAGGAGCTGAAGAACAAGATGACTTTGGAGCTGACTGAGATTATCCGCAACCAGGACCTGACAAACCAGGCTCAGTGAGTACTGTGAACCCTTGATACCACAACCTTCACACTTCAAGGTCATGGTCATGACCCACAGTCAGCATGATTCAATCTTCTTGCTGCTCATCACACTGGACCTTGTCCATTGTTAAATGCCAGTGGCAGAAAGTACTTTTACTCTAGTAATATTTGATGTATTTGTACTTTAGTTGAGTTTCTATTTTGTGCAACTTAATATTTCTCAACATATAATTCATTATCATAGATTAAATTAACAAATAAATCATTCTCTGAACATATTATTATGACACTGACAGATGCCATTCTCCATAATGAGTAATTACTTTTCTCTGCTTTTACTTTTTACTGCAGGTAAATACATGAATTCAGGACTTTTTCTTGTAATTGAGTATTGTTATAATCTTGTATTACTTTGGTAAATTATTTGAATACTTCTTGTACCACTGGCAAATGCCTCAAAATAATCATGTGAGTCACGATTTCTGACTTCTCCACACCCAAATTAAAATCAATACAGTAAAAAGAAATTCAATTATTGCAGTATTTTGCACTGAACTGATAGTGAATGCTTTAAGTTTAGTTTTTTTTTTTTTTTTTTTAAACTATTGTTAAGAAATGTGAAAAAGCAAAAGAAGCACTGAAATTCATCTCAGCATTCGGGGCTATTCCTTGAGGCACAGAGCCCCTTGATACGAACAGACTGCACTGTAAAATGCAGGTCCAACAGGTGCACTTCTGATTTTTGTATATTGTGGTAAACCATGTATTACTCCACAGGACCTTCCTGGAGGACAAGAAGACCCAGCTTGAGCCCCTGGCCTCTCAGCTCCAGGATCAGTTGAGGACCGCTGCTGCCAGCGTGGAGGAGCAGATCAAACCCCTGGCTGTCAACATGCAGGCCCAGATCCAGCCCATGGTCGATAACTTCCAGAAGCAGATGGAGGCCCTTATCCAGAGGATGACAGAGAACACCCAGCCCATTGCCAACTAAACCAATATCCAAAAGATGCAAATGTGCCACCACACCACCATCTTCTCTGTTGTGGACTGAGTTAATGGAGCTAATTCCATTTATGGCTGGCCTGAAAGTGCAGGCCTGGGTACAGCAGCCTAAATTGTGTTTCATTGCTTGTTAACATTGGTATTTATTATCTCTGTCCCAAAGCACAAATAAAAACTTGAAACACAATTTAATGGTATTGATCTAATTTCATCTGTGTGTGTATGTGATGGGTAAGTTTTAATCTTTTTATCATTTGGAGTGAGTCTGAATTATTTTGATTTGACCAGCACAAAATTGAAGAACATTTGGGTTTATCACTCTTACCACAATCAAAATAGTATGAGGAAATTGGAACAGGCTCACACTTAAGTGATGAATCAGTAATTTCTCTAACAGTCAACCAGACACAAACTGATTATTTTATCATTTTTATTCAAGCAAGCAAAGGTCAAGGGAAATTTCACAATAACAGGCTTCTACAGCCCAAACACTCAAACATTTAAAAGGGATAAAATGGCAGAAAGGAATGCTTTCAATCTTATTTTGTCACAGAATTCTCCTCTAAAACCCCTCATCGATCATTTTTTATTTTAACTTAACTTTTTCTCTTTTTTTGTGTATTTTCTTTTTAACTCAGCAAACCAGGCCTGGTGTTCCTGTTCATTATAAGCCTGGCTGGAGACTCGTTTCCATTGTTTTTTTTAATATATTATTTGACTTCTTTTTACTCTGTTTTGTGTATTTTTAACTTTTTCACTGTTAAATTTTTTTTTTCCCCCTCATCGGTGAAGCTAGTCTCAAGGTTCCCCATTCCTGTGAAAACCAAAACAAAGATATGATATGAATTACCACAGTATCAGTTTACAACTCAGTGTTAAATACACAACAAGTATGTGGCAATGTCATCATGAGGAGCCATAACCTCTTGACAACACTGTCCTCTCATTGTTAAAGCAGCTCTCGTCGTACCTTGGGTTCAGACACTTGGGACACCAGCTGAATTGGTCACAGTCTTCTGAGCGGCCTCCTTGGCCTGGTGGGCCTGAAGCACAGCCACCGCCTCATCCACCTACAAACATCAAGTTAGCTATAAGATACTTTCACCAAACTTCATATGCTTTGTATTCACAAGATTTCCCAAGACTCTTCCAGTGTTGCTGGTTGACATTTATATAAAGCCCAGAAAGTCTCCAAATTCCCTGTTCTATTATTATTATTAAGTCCTGGTGAACTCTACCAAGAATCAACTGAGGGAAGATGTCAACATTTAAGTACTGACCTTTGAGCGGAGAGACTCTGGAGACTCCAGCATGTGGAGCAGCTCTGAGTTGTCGATCTCAAGCAGCATGCCAGTGATCTTCCCTGCCAGGCTGGGATGCATGTTCTGGATCAGTGGAAACAGACGCTCACCTACAGAAGTGACAGATACAGAGGATTTAAGACAGGATGTAATTAACACTTGCCAAGTGCCAAATGCTAAAATGTAGTCTTTGGTGGATAAATCAAGTGCCACCTGTCCCATGTTAGTGAGACAATACTGTGTACATACATATGTTATATACAATATACAAGTTATAGAGGGGGCATGGTTTCTTAGTTGGGGATAGAAGTAGCATGTTCTGACTTAAGAGATGCTATGTCAAGCTAACATGGTATGCGCTCATGTAGAGCTATTGCTGAATCTTACCCAGCATCTGCTTCTGTTCCTGTGGTGGAGCTGCGGCCAGCATGGATGCAGTCAGAGGCTCCTGTCCCTGAACATGGACTGCAGGCTGAGGACGCAGGGAATTAAAAGTCAGACAAAGAATCCAATCTAAACTGACTTTTTTTGATGAGGGCAGAATAGGTGAGGATGTATGATTAACAAAGAAACGCAGATTTCTACCTGCTGCATGGTGACTTGTGGCTGAGCAGTCATGTGCTGCTGGGGATTGCGGACTCCTGCAGCATACTTGTACTGAGGGACTCCACGCACTGGAGTGGCTGCTGCAGCAGCTGCGTTGGCTGGTCGGGGCCCCATGCTCTGTGCTGCTGCAAGAAGTGCCAACAGGCGGACAGAAACATCACCACAAAATATACAAGCAGCAGCCATATAGTTGAACTGTATTTGCAGTGTAATTAGACAGACTGTAGACTGAGCAAACGTAACTGACCGACACGCTGGGTGGACATCATGCGAGGCACCTGGGAGGCAGGCCGCATGGTACTGAAGGTCTGAGGGCGTGGTGCTGAGGGACGCATGGCACCTGGCATGTTCTGGAAGTCTATGAACACACAAAAACATACAAGCATCATGTACAAGTACAAGCAAATGACCAACTGTTTTTGTTACACTGTGTCTTAAACTGCTTTTAAAATTATAGCAAATGTAATCTACACAGTGATAGAGGAATACTCACGTTGTGGCCGGACACCCTGGGTGGTCCAGCGTGGGCTGGGCCGCAGCTGGGCCATCTGGCCAGCAGCTGGGTAGTAAGCAGCACGGTTCTGGGCCTGAGGAATGGCTGCCATGAAGTAACCCGAGGGTGGAGCTGGCTGGTAGGGATTGATGACTGGGTTTGGCACTGCACGCACACTGGCCATGCGCTGCATGTACTGGTTGGTCAAGTGGGCTTGACGCTCCTCTTTGCGCTGGGCCAGGGCCACGTACAATGGCTTGGTGGCTACAATGCGTCCATTCATTTCAGTCACAGCTTTGGTGGCCTCCTCTGGGGACGAAAAGCAAACGAAGCCAAAGCCTTTGCTGCGCCCACCTTCCATCATGACCTGAGAGGAGAGTCCAATGAAATTAATTCTACATGAAGTATTTCTACTAGTTTGCACTATACTAAACAGTAACTATACAGCTAAAGAGTTTCAGTGATGGTAACTTAAAGCATTCCCTTATTGATTAAATAAGTAAACAGCTGAGGTCTTACCTTGGCACTAGTTATGGTGCCAAATGGTGAGAACTCCTTTCGGAGACGTTCATCATCAATTCCATCATCAAGGTTCTTCACGTACAAGTTGACACCCTGAAAATAAAAAGACAGTCCTTTTTTAGAAAATACTCCATATTAACCGAGAATAATGCCACTTTATAGTTTAATAAGTATTTTTGTCTGTAGTACATATTTATCCCCAGAGTCTATGGTGAAGAAATGTGGGGCCCATGAACTACAGAGTCACTGTTGCAGCCATTTTGGCCAGTGCATCCTACTAAAGAGGAAGCACTGAATTTGACAAAGCTGCAGTTTTTTAAAGTGCTTGACCAGACGATACACAAGACTATGAGGGTGATTAGGAATTGTATGGAGAGGATGGCCAAACTACAAATATTTCACTACAAGGATCTTCAAACTATAATTGGCAGTAAAATGTGAAAACTTCAGAGAAAATTGCTTAATGATCATTTCATAAATTAACAATTTACTGTAAAAACGTTTTACATCTGAAGACTAGCACAAGATTGTAAAACAGTCAAGATCAAGTAGTATTTCACTATTTCACTATGTACTATGTACCTGGTAGCGAGTCATACGATCTTGTTTCATTTGCTCAAACTTGCGCTTAAGCTCTGTCTGTCGCTCCACCTTCTTCTGGGCGCGGCCAACGTAGATCAGCTTGCCATTCAACTCCTTCCCATTCATCTCATCCACCGCCTGTAGAAACCAAGAAAACCAAGTCAACTTTGTGGCCAGAAATGGCAGACATTTCCAGGTGGTCAGAAAATTGCTGGTTCATCTCTTACTTTCTGGGCATCCTCGTGCCTCTCAAAGCTGACGAACCCAAAGCCTCGAGACTTTCCGTTGTCATCTGTCATGACTCGGATACTCATGGCATTTCCTAGGCAAGAGAGATCTATATAACCTTAATAATTATATTTTGCCCCATTATGTTTTACTGCAATTAAAGGAGTAGATCAAGTCATTTGAAAAAGCTGTTATAATAATAATAATAATAATAATAATAATAATAATAATAATAATAATAATAATAATAATAATAATAATAATAATATGAAACACCTGACTGACCATATTTGCTAAAGAGTTCCCTCAGCTTCTCATCATCCATGTCTTCACCAAAGTTTTTTATGTAGACATTTGTAAACTCCTTGGCTCGGGCACCCAGCTCAGCCTCGCGTTCTTTGCGAGATTTGAAGCGACCCACGAATCTGCATTGAAACAGAGGTTTAGATGAATTTAAATACACATTAAAACCCAAATTATAGGAATTATAAATGTTATGTTCATCACAGCTTTAAATCCAATTGCGAATAGTTACATTACAGCACTCAGAATAAATGGGTTATGCACAAATCTATTTATTCAGGCATCTTTTCAAAGAAATTACTCAAAGTGTTCAAGCATCATTATGAAACCTACAAATGTCAATCAGATCAGGCAGAATATTAATTCAACAAAGAGTACTTTCAGACATTAGTATAAACCAAACTAATTTAAAATGAGTTAAAACATTCACTTACACTTTACGGTCATTGAGCAGCATGCCATTCATTTTCTCAATGGCTCGTTCGGCTGCCTCCTGAGTCTCAAAATGCACAAAGCCGTAGCCTTTAGAGCCATTCTCGTCACAAACCACCTTAGAGAAAGAAGACACATGCTGCTTTTAAGCCACACACACATGCAGCAATAGTATATTAAACCTGAAATGTTTGTTGAGTCACACCTGAAATATCTCTGACCATTTTACAAAGTGAAACTGGCTTCCTGTGACTTTTTCATATCTTGTAATGGGACTGTGCTCTCTAAAAAACCTGGCTCCAATTTCTGCTCAGGAATATATTTCTTTTGCAGAGTCACTCTGAGAGACTCAGTGTAAGGTTAGTGAACTTTATGTTAGTCTACAAATTCATAGTTTGGTTATGGGCAAAACACATTCCTCATATGTAGTACAGACCGCACTCCCCATAACCTTTACTCACTTTACTTCTTTGTGCATTCCAACATGCTTACACCATCTACAGTCTATGTCTGCATCTACAGAACCAAACTATAATCCATTATTGATTACATCTAGGGTGAAAACCGAGTATTCCGGTATCACCTGCTGGGCGACTGAAACGCCTTGGTGAGCAGGTCTTTCAAGCCTCTATACTGCAAACGACACAAGGGAATTTACAAAGTAAACACATGCAAATTATGCCAACACAATGCTAAACTGCTGCAATGACAGTTGACAATCCCCC